ACATCAAAACACAAAATAGCAATTTCATAACAGATATATAGTATAGTTTAATCCCATCAAAATAACTGACTGAAAATGTACTCGCAGTAATTTTTTTCCATATAAGACGTTGTTTACAGTTATTATTATTGCTTTATCAAAAACATACGGAACGGTATCATTTTAGGAACATCACTTTTCTATAAGATACATATAACTTAATATTCCAAAGGAAAATAGAAACTTTATCCATTAAACATCTGTAGCCTTCATAAGTGCACATTCAAACTAGAACCTAACCATTTTCACATCGAATATAATGTTGGAAAGCTCCTCGAAAAATTTATCTAAAGACAATTGACAAGTTGACAATTCTTGTTCGAATTGTTGCAACTTGATATCATAATGTACTTTAATAAAAATGAATAAAAATTAAAGACACGACACTTTCTACATAGTAGTCAAACTTGAACTTGTTAAAGCCTCTTATAACAATTTTTAATGGTAATCTTTGTGATATCGATATAGAACTTGAAATAATTATTGTTAATAACTTGATCATATTGACATTGAACTTGATCTTGTAATTAGGACTAAAATTGATGGTATTAATATTTAACTTGATTATTTATGTATTTATCTTGATCATAATGATATTTTACTAGACCATATTGATATCTAACTTAATCATATTGATATTTTACTTGATTATTATATCGATATTCATATAGACATTTAACTTCATCATGTAATTAGGACTCAAATTGATGGTATTAATAGTTAACATGATTATTTATATATTTATCATGATCATATTGATATTTAACTTAATCATATTGCTATTTAACTTGATTATATTGATATTTAACTTGATTATATCGATATTCATATTGATATTTAAGTTGATGATAGCGCTATCTAACTTGGTGATATTAACATTCAACATGATATTAATATTCAACTTGATGATATTAAAATTCAATATGGTATTAATATTCAACAACTCGATGATATTAAAATTCAACTTGATGATATTAAAATTCAACTTGATGATATTAATATTCAACGTGATGATATTAATATTCAACTTGATGAAATTGATATTTAAGACGATCCAGTATTTATTTTTAACATTATTATATTAACATTTAACTTGATCATATTGATATCTAACTTCATTTAATAATTGATATTTTATTGTGATTTTTATTTGATGTTTTTCCCAATTCCCTGTTTAAACGATTAAAATTTAAGTCCTAACAAAGTTGGATTTTTTTCACAAATTCTCGTATAAAATCGTAATCAAGTTGATGTATTTTTTAAAGTAGAGTATATCAGGTTGTATGTTGAAGTAGTTAAAGAGAAGTGATAGGTTTACAATACTAGGGTCAACCTTTAACATAAACTTTATTTCAAGTACCTGTCACACTACGTCATCAATGTCAGATAAAATATTGCAATTGCATTCAAATAGACAGGCCTTTTCTAGAGAGGAATGTTTAAAGCTATGTTCACTGTTTACAATTTATTTGAAGTAACTTGGTGAAAAATGTGACAAATAAAGCTAATAACATGGATCATAATGGCGTTAACATGGATCATAATGGTGTTATCATAGATCATAATGCCAATATCATGGATCATAATGCTAATATCATAGATCATAATGCTAATATCATGGATCATAATGCCAATATCATGGATCATAATGCTAATATCATAGATCATAATGCTAATATCATGGATCATAATGCCAATATCATGGATCATAATGCTAACATCATGAATCCTAATGCTAACATCATGGATCATGGATTTCGTACGGACACAAAAAAATGGCAAAAATATTGAGTATCGAGATATTTCTGCGCTGAACCGTTAAGGTGCGGGCACAAGAGCAGTCTTGGTCGAAGACTTTTGTCGCAGATTAGAGTCTTGTCTTGAGTTTCAACGACTGGCACGGGCACACGATGAGACAAAAATCTCCAGTCGGTCGTTTTTCACCTTGTCGATAATCACGTGCGAAGTATGCAATTGAAAGAAACAAGAATCTGATTGGACGATGACCGTCTGTTTTACAGACGATAAAACTATCGGAGACAATTATCAAAATTGTAAGATTATAAATCGTGCCGGCGACATTACAATCTTGTCGTGGAAGCACGGGCACATGTGAGATTTAACTTAAGATTCGAGTCGCTCGTGTGCCCGCACCTTTATATGCCCAAACCTTTGTCCGGCTACAGCGAAAAATGCACTGCAGTATTACATATATCACGATCACGTTTAAAATGGACCTAAATTTTTCAAAGTTTTATTATAATGAGAAACTGACATTACAAATAAATTCAGATGAAATTCATTGGAGAATATTTTCACACCAAAGTAACATGTTATAATATGGGGTATAATTTCAGCACTTGAGACGATATATCAATGAAAGAATGAGATTAAAGTTAAAATTTATAATCTCTCCTCATTCTTATCTTATCACCAAATGATCAATGGATTTTAACTCGAACAAAAGATGTTTTGTTGTCGAGTATACGTTTCGATAAATGCTGTTATTGTCTCGTGATTTAAAGACGGCATTCAAACACTTAGAAAATTATTCAACATTGGACAGCGTTGATACCCTGTTTTAAACCCTTCGTTTAAATTGCTTTTTTAAAAATAGTTCGACTGTTTTTAAAAATAACTTTGTGGGAAACAATCTGTTACGAAGTAATTGGAAAATTTTGGTAGCTCTTATTTGGATTGTTCAAAATGGAGAAACAGTTGCCAGTCAACACTTGCAAGATACAGTGATCGTTGCACACTTACATTGGATATAGCATTCAAAGAAGTAGATGGGTACTCAAATATAAAGGGTATCCTTTGACATTTTTGTAACATAGTCATTATGAAGAGTTTAAATGGGATATAAGGCCAATGGCGCTAGCCACCCTTTCCTTCAATCTCCTTCGATATCTCTATTTCATAATAGTAGCTAATAATGCCATCAATGGTTCAGCATAACATATTCAATCCGGTTTCCCCCTGTCAGTGACGCAGGCAAGAGGGACTGACATGGAAAAAGGGTCTAGTCGTTCGTATGGGACAATAAACCGAGGCCCTGTGTTTTACAGGCTATGCCCGTTAAAGATCCCTCGAAAGTTGGAAATCGAAAAAGAGCAGGCTAATGCCGCTTTCATTGTAAAATTTCCCCGAATGGCGTTACCCGTCTTCATTAGCCCATATGGACGTAAAACTCCATTCTTTTCATTTCATTTCGAATGCATCAGTCTATAGTACATGTCCAAAACTATCAAATTAAGCAAATTGAATTCAAACCAGAAGCCGAATTGTTATTCTGAAAGGTATAAGACTCTTGTGGGTAAAGAAGTCTACATTTTGACGACTATACATTGAACAGAGACTAATGACAATTGATTTTCCTAATGGACAAAAAAAAAATTGTNCATTTATCTTCTTAATTCCCATTTATGTTTTCTAAACGCAAATTTGATCCCAAAATTACACGAAACTTAAGGGCAAAATATGATTTTAATCTGTTTTTTTGCGAGAATTTTAATTTTTTTAGACAGAAATTTAATAACTTTCGCTAATCCCCTTTAAATAGTGTTAATATAAGACTTAATTCATATTTAGTTCATTGGATTAACAGTTAAGTTTTTGGGACAAAAAAATCAACGATTTCACAAGTTAGTGAGAAATGGAGTTTTATTACATTTTCGAATATTTAATGAAGTTAGGAAATGCGAGAACTATGAAAAAGCAATAAATTCATTATACGATAAACTAAAGTGACTGAAAATTTGTGGCAAAATCTACTTACAATCGCTCTATTTTTTTTTTAGATCCACTAAGAGGGAAATGGATCACAATGCTATGTAGTACATCTTTGACGTAAAACCCCTTAGCACCGTTTTTGGACTGATACGGAAAAGGCGTTAAGTCGGATTTAACCGAAAACCTGTATTCTACAGGCTGTTTACGTTAAAGATCCCACGACAGTGTTGTAAATCGTGGAAAAAAGCTTAATATACCACTGTCTAGACAAAATTCCCCTCAAGTTACACTGCATGGCGTTGACCGCTTTCATTATCCCCATGATGTGCCAAAAGTAGGTTGTAAAGCTGCTAGCTCTATCCTGACAAGAGCAAAAATTGTGTGATTGTTTGTTTACCAAATCGTGAGAGAGCTGCCGAGTATCTCTTTCGAATTATTGTCCATAGAAGAAAACAAGAATGGGAGATCCACGACCATCGCCTCGAAAAATAAGAAGAATCATGAATTTGGTTAAGCTCAAATATTATCTGGTCATTAAACTAATTCAATTGCAGATGGAATCAAATGGAGTCATATTCACTCTTCCAGAACACTTGATAAATCTCTGCGACTTTTTTTTATCGACTCGAACAATCTTTCAGTGATATCATATTGTTCTAGATAAATCTGTATGTAACTAGTATCTTTAAGAAGTGATAACAATCTAAACGGATATGTTCTATGTATGCAGTAAGTGTTGTTTAAGTAGATATTAAGTATTAGTGGGAGGACAGTCTCGTATTTTATTAGAATTTCATTGAAAAAAAAATCACGGTTACCAACAATAGAAAATTCTTTCTACTATTATAGAATGTTCTTACGGAAGACATACAATCTGGTGCAATATGCTAAGGTTACATTGCAGATTTTTCTGTGATTCCCATTGTAAAACTGAGAGACATACTAAAGGCGTTTGAAACACCGATCCTTTAAAGTATCGGAAGTCAATCTGAAACCTTCTCCCTGTTCTAACCAAAAGTCAAAATTAGGTCTGGGTCAACGAATTCAACTCGAGAGCTACCCATGATGTACAGATCAATTTAACAAAAATAATCAGAAATAACGGCGCGTTAATTGATAATGACCTGGATAAAATTCTAATAACATGGATCATAATGCTATAATATCAAGAATACAATTCTTTTATCATTGATAATAATGCAAATTTCATTGGTCATAATGGTAATATCATGGATCATAATTGTGTTATCATGGATCATAATGCCAACATCATGGATCATAATGCCAATATCATGGATCATAATGGTAATATCATAGATCATAATGCTAATATCATAGATCATAATGCTAACATCATAGATCATAATGGTAATATCATAGATCATTAAGGCTAATATCATAGATCATAATGGTAATATCATAGATCATAATGCTAACGTCATAGATCATAATGCTAATGTCATAGATCATTATTCTAATATCATGGATCATAATGGTGTTATCATGGATCCTAAGGCTAATATCATGGATCATAATGGTAATATCATAGATCATAATGCTAACATCATAGACCATAATGGTAATATCATGGATCATTATTCTAATATCATGGATCATAATGGTAATATCATAGATCATAATGCTAATATCATAGATCATTATTCTAATATCATGGATCATAATGGTAATATCATAGATCATAATGCTAACATCATAGATCATAATGCTAACATCATAGATCATAATGCTAACATCATAGATCATAATGGTAATATCATAGATCATAATGCTAACATCATAGACCATAATGGTAATATCATGGATCATAATGCTAATATCATAGATCATAATGCTAATATCATGGATCATAATGCTAACATCATAGATCATAATGCTAACATCATAGATCATAATGCTAACATCATAGACCATAATGGTAATATCATGGATCATAATGGTGTTATCATGGATCATAATGCTAACATCATAGATCATAATGCTAACATCATAGATCATAATGGTAACATCATAGATCATAATGCTAACATCATAGATCATAATGCTAACATCATAGATCATAATGCTAACATCATAGATCATAATGCTAACATCATAGATCATAATGGTAATATCATAGATCATAATGCCAACATCATAGATCATAATGCTAACATCATAGATCATAATGCTAACATCATAGATCATAATGGTAATATCATAGATCATAATGCTAACATCATAGATCATAATGCTAATATCATAGATCATAATGCTAATATCATGGATCATAATGCTAACATCATAGATCATAATGCTAACATCATAGATCATAATGGTAATATCATGGTAATGCTATCATGGATCATAATGCTAACATCATAATAATGCTAACATCATAATGCTAACATCATAGATCATAATGCTAACATCATAGATCATAATGCTAATATCATGGATCATAATGCTAATATCATAGATCATAATGCTAATGTCATAGATCCTTATTCTAATATCATGGATCATCATCGTAATATCATAGATCATCATCGTAATATCATAGATCATCATCGTATGATCATGGATCATTATTCCAATATCAAGACTCATACTGCTAATATCATGGATCATAATGATAAAATAATGGATTATACTGCTTATATTACGGGTATTAATTTTTATATAGTGGATCATAATGATAACATCTTGGCCATAATGATAATATCATTGGTCCAAGATTTATTTGTATAAAGCAAGGAAATTAATATGCTAAAATGAACGCCGCGTGTCAATTAGAAGAGACCTGTACACCATTCCATAATACACCTCTTTGAGATCCAGAATATCTTAAAATCTTTTATTATAAGTTGACAGTTTTGAGATCATGCAAACTTGTCATTTTCTTTGTGAGTCTTTCAACTTCTAAAGCTCAAAATGAAATATAAGCCTTATTTTACAGCGTCTTAATCCGAAAACTATTAAAGTTGCTAATGAAAGTTTCATTGGTATCATAGTCAAAGCCTATAATAATTGTCTTAAACTGAAGTTTCGAATTACATCTATTATTAGATCTAAATCTTGGGGGTTAAAAAGCAACAAAGGGGTGGGGTTTAATAAAGGTGTAACGGGGGACCGGAACGATAATTTAGTTATATGAGGATAGCCGTAAGGTAACGAAATGTCGTATTATTTCATAGTTTTGTACTCTGATGTACATTGCAAGAATGAGAATAAGCGGTAACAGAACTATACAGCAAAACGTTCCCAATATGCGAGAGTTGATATTTTAAGAAAATTGTTTTGTAATTGTTATGTAATGGGCAAAAATCAATATAAATAAGTAAAATCCATGAAAAAATCTTGAAAACGCGTTATATGAATTTTTCTGATTCTTGTCAAACTGGCGAATATAATGCTTGCATTGAACCACCGCAAAATATTCCTTGTCAATATACATTGTACTTTGAAATGAATCTAATAACGTTTGGAATATCAAAGATCAAGCATGCACTGTCAAGATGCTTCGGATTTGCATCGATACCCCTAAAAGTATGTACACACGTACGATAGTCAAGTGACACTATTGTTTCAATTATGACCTTTGTAACAATTGATATTATAAATTATGGGTTAGGTCTACTAGGGTTAATATTATGACCGGATATTGTCGAATATTTAACACTATACATGTCCACCTTTCAATTAAAATACACTATAATTATAACAATAGTTTCAATATTTGTACGTGTGTTGAATTCTTCTCTACATTGCACTTTTAAATAGATGCTGTGATTGACGGAGATAAAGGCCGAGAGCGGTGGGAGTTGTTCGTTAATTTGTCGCAGAAAATTGTTCACAGATAATTTAGTCTCAATTTGGACAGTAGTATTAGTAAATTGATCACAATAACATGGTCATAGTAAATATGTCACAGTAACATGGCAATAATATATCGGTCACAATATTATGCAACATAATACGATCATAGTACATTTGACTCCATAACACGGTCATAGTAAAATGGTCACAATGCCATGGCCATAGTAAATTGGTCACACTAACATGGTCGTAGTAAATAGGTCACATACCATAACCATATTAAATTATTCACTTTACCATGATCATTGTAAATTTTTCACAATAACATAACCATGGTAAATTGGTCACGTTAACAAAGTCATAGTAAATTAGTCAAACTAACATAGTCGTAGTAAATTAGTCAAAATAACATAGTCATAGTAAATTGGTCAAATTTATATGGCCATGGTAAATTGATCACAATAACATAGCCATAGTAACATTGGTTACAAAAACATAGTCATAGTAAATTGGCTACAATAACATGACCATAATAAATTGGTCACAGTAAAACGACCATATCAAATTGGTTACAGTAAAATGACCATAGTAAATTGGTCACAATAACATCATCATAGTGAATTGGTCACAATAACATGACTATAGTAAATTTTTCACAATGAAACAGCCATATTCAATTGATAATTATAACATTGTCATAGTAAATTGGTCACAATAACATCATCATAGTGAATTGGTCACAATAACATGACTATAGTAAATTTGTCACAATGAAACAGCCATATTCAATTGGTAATTATAACATTGCCATAGTAAATTGGTCACAATAACATTGCCATAGCAAAATTGGTCTGTAATAAAACGACCATACCATCCCATATTACATGGTGATAGTAAATCGGTCACAATAAAACAACCATATAAAAATGGTCACAATAACATGACCACGGAAAAATGATCACAATAACATGGCCATAGCAAACTGGTCACAATAACATGGTCATAGTAAACTGGTCACAATAATATGGCCATAGTATATGGGTCACAATACCATGACCTCAGTTAATTGGTCACATTAACACAGTCGTAGTAAATTGGAAACAATAACATAGCCATAGTAACAATGGTCACAAAAACATAGTCATGGTAAATTGGTCACAAAAATAATCATAGTAAATTGGCTACAATAACATGAACATAAGAAATCGGTCAAAATAAAACGACCAAATCAAATTGGTTAAAATAAAATGTCCATAGTAAATAGGTCACAATAACCTGGTCATAATAAGTTGGTCACAATAAAATGGCCAAAGTTATTGGTCAAAGACAATTGGTCATGATAACATGACCATAGTTAATTGGTCACAACACCATGGCCATATTAAACTGGTCACAATAACGTGGCAATAGTAAACTGGTCACAATAACATGGCAATAGTAAACTGGTCACAATAACATGGTCATAGTAAATTGGTCACAATAAAATAGTCATAGGAAATTGGTCAAAATGACATAGAGTAAATTGGTCAAAATAACATAGACAGAGTAAATTGGTCAAAATAACATAGTCAGAGTAACATGACCCTAGTAAATTGGTCTCAGTAATATTGTCCCAGTAATTTAGTAACGATAGTTTTATCATGGTATTTTAGTAATGATGGTATTGGCCGACGGAGATACCAAGTTCATTATGCTGTGATCAAATTATCGTGACATATGACCAAAATGAAGAGATCAGTATTCTCATAAACCAATTAAATGTAGCTTCATTCGACCATCACCAAGGTTCGTCTTGCACCTGCTAATTTCCTTACAAAAACGTATGCTCGTGTCGTTTTAGCCAATTTTATTCAAATCGGCAATATTCAGATTATGTCGTGCGCATACAACTCTTAAACCTATGACCCGGAAACAGTTTAGGTCAATTATATGACATGCGCTCTCATGTATATTCATCTCTCATTTCACAAGGTTACACTCTTCTTTTGATTTTATTACAAGAAGTCATATTTGATTTCGTTTAAGATGGATTATGAAAAATCACACTATAAAACAACGTTCTGTTCAAAGCAAATTAGGCGAACGTAATGCGTCTGGTTTCAGATGCGATGATATGGGATACCGGATGATCGTCGACAAAACGACTTCTGTCTTCAGAGGTTGGAGGCAGTAAACTTATCTGTAAAGACATGCATTTTTTACCACTACTTGTGTATTTTTTGCAAAGAAGTCAAAATAAGGTGGACTTTTGAAACAATGCATCTTTGTCGTATGCATTTAAAGCTGCGAAATGTGATATTTCAGAGATATAGTTCGCCTTGAATTTAATTTCAGGCTGACCCCAATTGTCAAAGCGGATAACATGGGCAAAGCATCGATATAAACCGGAGAAATTCGTTTACAAAAAGTTAAACGGTACATTACAGTATATATTGGTCGCAAAATGGGAGTAATGCTATATGGTTTATGTTTGGCTCAGAGGACATCACACTAATGCTACTACCTAGCGGTTGGTGTCATAAACCAATACGAGATAGCCGCAATAAGCGCCCTTACGGAGTATTCGATGTCATGGTATGACTTTCGATGTAAATACAGTACGATTTAGGGACAAGGCAAACATGCGAATTGCGAGATCATAAAAAGGTAAAACAAAAAGGGAACTACGATTGAGCCATAAGTACCGGCTACAATAAGCTTCCGTAAGGCCGGTGGTAACGCTACCATGTTAACCTGGCTTTAAGACTATGTTGAAGCGTTGTCTACAGATAATGTTGTACATAAGAGATTAGAATGACCTATTGTGATAAAAGGCTGTATAAAATGTGAAGAAAATGGAAGAAACGTGATAAAATTATCAAGTAAATTAACTTATATCTGTCTGTAGTTAAAAATCAATACAATTCAAACTTGAGACGGTTCCCATACTTGTTGTTTTCCTGAATTGTACAAGAATGAATTGCATCTAACGAGGAATTTGGCTAGGCGGATATCCCTTCCTTTTGTATGCGTTATTATGCTTAAATGTCGCATTTTATAAATTGCAAATGGTCCAATGACTGAAGAACGTCGGTGAAATTACCGAACAATAGAATTCAATTGATCATCGACTTATGTAATTCCAATTTTATGATAAACATAATATTCATATCAGCTGATTTCAAGCACACATCTGCATTGAAGAACGAAGTTTCAAATGGATCTTTGCGAACGAAATTTGATAGATAAGCAATGTCACTTTTATATTACATGTACAAATTTTGTATTTCGTCAGCCAATTTCTGATTGCCTCACCAATACTTTGTCCCGTCTAACTAATTTTCTACTCAAGGGATATCGACGCCAATATAGACTTACAATTACATGTATACAGAAATATCATGTGTGTCGAAAGAAACTGACAGTAATCTCCTCAAGAGACACTGGTTATTACAAGATCGGACGTAACGAAAATAAGCATTCTATCAGAGCTACTCAAACACTGCTAACTTAAAGTAGACAGATGCGCCATTTTATGTGAGGGTTTATTTGAGTTTTAAACTTAAATATATGTAAATAGTCTTCAGACGTGTACGAAAATCGCTTCATTCCTTCAAAAATATATCGAACTAGGAATTTCTTTTCTTATTTCTTTTGATGTCTTTTCTATGTATAGCAGTTTCTCAAGAATAGACGACTCGTCTTTTTAACTATCAAACTATAGTTCTGAACACACATGGATTTCAAGGTTCAAATTTCGACGGTGAGTTGTGAACACTATTACTGATTGACTTAGCTACAAAAAACGATTGGTCAAATGCAAATTGACCAAATAACGCATCTCCCCCTTTAATTCTTTGAGTAAAATGACACTTCTGCCCTTGAAAACAGAACTCAACCATTGTCAATGAATACCCACACTAAAATAATTCTTACAAATTTTTATAACCAAC